TAGAGACGGAGTTTCACCATGTTGACCAGGATGGTCTCGATCTCTTGACCTCATGATCCACCCGCCTCGGCCTCCCAAAGTGCTGGGATTACAGGCTTGAGCCACCGCGCCCGGCCCTCTTTTTTTTTTTAGAAAAAATTTAAATATATAATTTAAAAAATAGAGATGAGGTCCTACTATGTTGACCAGGCTGTTCTCAGCCTCCCAGAGTGCTAGGATTACAGGCATGAGCCACGAGCTTCGAGTGCTTCTAACAGCAGGTGCAAAGGCCCTGGGGCGGGAAAGGGCTTGGGAGGTTTGGTGGAAAGGAGGCAAGCATGGCTGCAACCTGGTGAGCAAGGGAAAGAGGGGAAGGAGAGGTAGGAACCAGATCGTGCAGATCCTCATGCACTGTGAAGGGTTTTGATTTTATCCTGAGAGCAGTGGTCCAGGGGTCCCTGGAGAATGTGAGGAAGAACATCAAGGTATGATGTATGTCTTTAAAAGATTGCGGGCTGGACTGGGTGCGGTAGCTCATGCCTGTAATCCCAGCACTTTGGGAGGCTGAGGTGGGCAGATCATGAAGTCAGGAGATCGAGACCATCCCAACCAACATGGTGAAACCCCATCTCTACTAAAATACAAAAAATTAGCGGGGCGCGGTGGCGTGCACCTGTAGTCCCAGCTACTTTGGAGGCTGAGGCAGGAGAATCACTTGAACCTAGGAGGCAGAGGTTGCAGTGAGCCAAGATCACACCACTGCACTCCAGCCTGGCAACAGAGTGAGACTCAGTTTTTTAAAAAAAAAAAGATTGCAGGCTTCTGTGCAGGAAATGGGGCAGCTGTCATGGGTGAGACTGGAAGCTGCCATGAGGTCAGGAGGTCCTAACAACAATCCAGGCAAGATATGGTGGTGGTCTGGGCCCGGGAGTAGATGGTGGACGTGGTGAGCAGTTGACACATGGGAGAGAGATTCTGAATGTTCTTCCTGATGTCACTGATGCTTCCAGCTCAGCCCCTGCCCTACAGCCACAAGAGCTTGGAGGTGGGACATTTGCCCACGTGCCATGCTTCTGAGTCACCTGGGATGGAACTGGAGAGGAGGCCCGCCCGAGCTGCCTTGGATACAGCCCTGTGCTCTGAGGGGACAGAGCAGCCTCTCCTCACAGATGACAGCTGGGTTTCCAGGATGAAGTTGAAGAGCACAGAACCCTCGGGGCTGGCTAACTCTCCCCTGAGGATCCCGGGACTCATCCATGGGGAATGGAGAGAAGGGGGCAAGGAACCAGGGAGGTCCTGCAGCATTTTCACACACCCAGCCAGTGCAACCACAATGGTGCTTCTGTCCAAGACCACAACCCTGGGACCACGTCAGTTAGCAAGGGGGCGCAGATGGCATCCCATTTGCTGCCCGGCTGCCTGGCTCCCGATGAGCTCTGTTGGTTCCCGATGCTTGGGCGCAGTCTGCAGATGTGATGGACAAGGAAGGACATGTGCCTCCTTGCCCTGTCTGCTCTCCTTTTCTCGTGGCGCTGGCTGGTGGCAGATGAGCAGGACATCCACAGTGTCTTTGACGGTTAGGTGCGTGACCCCTGACTTCCCACCCCACGCCTCACTGTAGAAGGATTTGTGAAGATGGTTTTTGAGTGTTCGATGGCCTTTTAGGCTGACAGCAGTGGGTCCCCGGTGATGGTTCTGGCGCACACCCAGCCCATTTACGAAATGCATGCTGTTTACTCCTCGGTGCCGAGTGGGTCCCAGGGGCCTATTTTCCTCCATTGTGTAAATCTGAGCTTGGAGAAGTTGAGCACACACAGATTATGCACTCAGCCGACTGCAATGATTTTCTGTTGCGATTACAGTCAACCGTGAAAATCACACACACCACTTTGTAAAGTAAATTATTCTCACCTGAGAGATCATAATAGCTCTCCAGGGTTGTTAGAGCCTAAACACTCCATGGAGAGTTTGGGGAGCTAGGAGGGTGGGAGGCAGGCAGAGACGGCGAGGTGGAGGGGAGAAGGGGAGTCTCATCATTCCAGAAAGCAGCGCACAGTAGGACTGGGATGCGCTTTTACTGGAACTCCAATCCTTAACTATTTCTGTATTTCATGGGCTCGTAAATATCGCGAGTCCTTTTTTCTGTGTTTCCATGCACAGTTTTCACTTTGGCTGATGCCCAGCTCTCACTTTTTCTGTTAGCCTGTTGTCATGCATGTAAAAACAGAGGAAAGTGCCTGCTGTTGATGCCGTCACACACAGCTCCTGCTCTGCTTCGACGTTTTTTAACTCTGGACCCACCTCTTGGTACAACACGACCCCCCACACCCCCCTTTCCTCTGAACCCTGATGATGGTGACAATGATGATGAACGCAATGGTGACGAAGACGATGATGACAGACAATACTCATTGGCCACTGTCTGTGGGCCCAGCACCGCCCTATTTAGACCCTATTCTAAATCCTTTATTCATGTCAATCAACTTAATAAGTGGTGGGTCAAAGGAAGCTGACCAACATTATCCCTGTTATATAAATCAGAAAACTGGCTCACGCCTGTAATCTCAGCACTTTAGGAAGCTGAAGTGGGTGGATCACAAGGTCAGGAGATCGAGACCTTCCTGGCTAACACGATGAAACTCCATCTCTACTAAAAATACAAAACAAATGAGCTGGGTGTGGTGGTGCGCACCTATAGTCCCGGCTACTTGGGAGGCTGAGGCAGGAGAATCAATTGAACTTGGAAGGTGGAGGTTGCAATGAGCTGAGATCGTGCCACTGCACTCCAGCCTGGGCCACAGAGCGAGACTCCATCTCTAAATAAATAAATCAGGAAACAGACAGGAGAGGCTGAGCGACCCTCCAACATGGCTAGTCAGAGGCAGAGTGAGGATCTGGACCCAGGCCCCAGGCCCCCGGGGGTGAGGCTGCCTCTTTAGGGATCATAGCACTTGATTTGGTACTTGTATCTCTGCAGGAATTATGAGCTAACTGCCTCCACTGCTAACCTGCCTCCGAGTCTCACAGCTAAGAGAAACCCTCATCCCCAAAGTGTATGCAGTAAGCACTTAACTAACATGGAGCAGGTGGCAAAGGCCCTGCGGGGCAGATAGGGAAGTGCTTTCATTTCAAAGTAGTGGGCCCTCCTCGGGCTCCAAACACGTAATGGGAACTTGGCGGCCACACCCCAAGTCCTGCTGAGCGCTGGAAATCTGGAGATGCCAGGTTGGGAGGAACAGGGTAGACGCATGCTTCCAAGGGAAGAGGGCAGGGAGGGATGAGGACACTGAGGCCCAGGCTGGACTGCTGGGTGAAACTTGATATGTTCAAAAGTGCATTTTGATTCGTCTCTCCCCAGACTGGCACCTCTTTCTGTCTTCCCCATCTCAGTAACTGAGCAGCCTCGTCCTTCCACATTCTCAAGACAAAAGCCAAGGGCTTTGGAGTCCTCCTTGACTCCTCTTTCTCTCATCCACACCCAAGCCATCAGAAAACCCCATGCCACCTCCTCTGACACACACCCAGAGTTGAGCCCTCCTCACCAGCCACCGTCCTCCTTCGTCAAGCTCCCATCGTCTCTGCCTGGGTTTTCTTGTTTGTTTGATTTTTTTGCGATAGGAGTCTCACTCAGCTGCCCAGGCTGGAGTGCAGTGGTGCAATCTTGGTGGCTCACTGCAATCCCCATCTCCCAGGTTCAAGAGATTGTCCTGTCTCAGCCTCCCGAGTAGGGATTACAGGCACCCACCATCGTGCCGGCTAATTTTAAAATTTTTTAGTAGAGATGGGGTTTCACCACATTGGCCAGGCTGGTCTTGAACTCCTGACCTCAGGTGATCTGCCTGCCTCAGCCTCCCAAAGTGCTGGGATTACAGGCGTGAGCCACCACACCCAGCCAGATTGTTGTAAACTTTTGTTTTATATGAGTAAAACTGTCTTTACTAAACAGATTTGAAAGCTAAAGATGAATAGCCCTCCCTCTGCTGTTCTCTGGAGCAGGCGTCAGCGGCTGCCATGCGAGGCATTGACTTGGTTCACTGGTGGTTGCCGTTGGACTGTAGGCTCTGCCGGGTCAGGGAGTTTTGTCTGTTTGGTTTGATGTCAGATTTCCAGTGCCCAGAACAGTCCTTGGTATATCATGGTGTCGGTATTTGCTGGTGAATGAATAGGTGAAAAATAAATGACCATCCCATTCTGGGGAGTGATACTCAGTTCAGTCTGACTTGGCACTTTGGGCCTTATACCTAACTCTCTTCC